AAAAAAATTCAAAAAACCTCTTTAGAACCATACGGAAACGTGCACAAGTAGATGTGTCTAAAAGATTTCCAATCTTAAAACTGAATTTGTTAACTAGACATCTCTGAAGCAGAGCTAAGAAAAGATGACAATTGACAGTTATGCACCTCAAAAATTCTCACACTTTGGAACTAACCAACAAAAACGTTGACCTAAGTATTACGAAGCTATCCAATCAAATCGGAGCATTAGACTTTTAGCCCACAAAGAAGGCCAATAACAATAAGCGGGTCACATGAGAATGCTAAGCAAATGGCATTCAGTACTTGGAAAGATATGTTCATCGTTATAATGAGAAGATTTATTCTTTCATTTTATAGATAAATGTCTTTGGACAACAGAAAGTGGACAATGTTGTGCCTTTCCGTTTGAGTACAACGACAAGACCTACTCTTCCTGTATCACGACACCAGAAAAGCCAAGACCATGGTGCGCTACAAGCATGTACTACGTGATTGAAGGCGTAGAATACTGGGACTTCTGCAAAGGTAATACAATAGTTGGTCGACTATTTGTATTTACGGTCCTTCAAAAGAAATGAGCCTCAAAATAGCGCTGTACTGCGACATCGAGTAACAGATGTATTTACAATTTGATTTATTTTTTATGTAGTAGGAATATTTTGGGTCTTGCAAAGAGAAGCACCTATTTGTAGTTATAACCCACTCATTAATTTTGGCGCAATTTTATTGGTTACTTTACGTCACGTGGTGTAAAATCGCAGGGCAGTTATTATGCAATAATCCCCGTCCGCTTCGATATTTGTCCTCCGATTTTTTCCATGAAAAAGAAACATAGTCAACACAAGAGTCTCATCTTTTCCTTTCTCCTATTTCCATGGAAGGAAACCAAAATCGTCTTTTTTTGCTTCCTTTCGTCAATCACGCGCATTCGTCATCAGATTACCACTCGCTTTTTTACTGCGTTTACGTGCAGTTTACTTGTGATGTGAAAATTAATGAGAGGGTTATCAAATAAATAAACCCTGTTCTGGCTTGCTGGTATGTCGGCTGATATTGTCCTTGGCTGAGACATCGTCCTCAAAATTTCATATTTGCCCTCGCTGCTTCTCTTCTCGGCCTAATATTAAATTTTCGGACAATCTCGCAGTCGCGGACATTATCAGCCAACCTACCTACCCCCGAAGGGGTTTATTTACTAAATACTCGCTTCCTGTTGGGTTGATCTTTACATGTACCCCGAGATTTTAGCATAGTTAAGAACGAGTCT